TGAATGCCTTTTCATCCCCACCTAACTTCTATTCACCTGAGTGGCACTCAGGTGAATCTTCTTATATGTCACAATAGTTCCCTTATGCTCTTTTTTTATTTTCTTCTCACATCTGTTTTCTCTCTACTGCTCGGAAAATATATTGTGCTTTGTATTTTCAACTTCATTAATTTTCCCTGTCTTTTATTCTGTTGAGCCCATGCAGTGGGCATTTTATTTTGATTGTTATAATTTTCAGTTTCAACTTTTCAATTTGATTCTTCTGTATCTGGTGTTTCTTTTCTGCGACATTCTAATATTTTTTTATTTGTTTGAAGCATACACGTTGAAACATTTCAGGATGACCAGATTAAAGTCCTTTGCAAGAAACAATAAATTTCTTATTTAACATCTAGGTTATTTCAGTATTGATATCTGTTGATTTTCTTCTCTCATTGAATTGATATGTCTTGGCTCATGGTGTAGCATGTGATCAGTTGTGTTAGTAGACCTTTTCTGGTATCACCAATAGGGGAAGAAAAGGTTTTGCTTCATTGTATTGAGATTGTGATGAAAGCTCAGGGTCCTTACTAGACTTTCCTTGGCACTTGGGAGTGAGCACTCATTATTGCTGGGTAGGGATGGAAGCTTAGTCACCTGTATGTATCATTACTTGCTTGATGAGGGCAAAAGCTCCCCTGATGACTTCCAGTGTGCAACTGAAATAGTCCCTGTTAGCTTCCTATCCTACTCTTACAACAGGATTACCCTTCCCCTATTATGAGATTGATGACTACCTTAAATGCCATCCTAGAGCTTTCATCCAGTAGCTGATGGAAGCAGAAGCAGACACCCACATCTGAACACTAAGCTGAACTCCTGGAATCCAGTTGTAGAGAGGGAGGAGTGATGAGCAAAGGGGTCAAGACCAGGCTGGAGAAACCCATAGAAACTGCTGACCTGAGCAAGTGGGAGCTCATGGACCCCAGTCTGAAAACCGGGTAATCACCATAGGATGGAATGGGGGTATCAGCTGGGTGGCCTAGGCAGTCTATGGGACCTCTGGCAGTGGAACAAGTATTTATCCCTAGTGCACAAATGGTCTTTGGGAGCCTCCATTCCCCATGGAGGGAATCTCAGCCTTGAGACACAAGAAAGGCCCTAGGTCCTGCCCCAAATGATGTGTCAGACTTTGATGATCCCCCATAGAAGGCCCCACTCTCCTGGGGGATGGATGGGGGTTGGTAGTAGAGGCCATGAGAGGGTGGAAGGGAGAGGGAATAGGGATTGGTGTGTAAAATAAGATTGCTTTTTTAGTAAAAATTTAATTTTAAAAAACAAACAGGAATACCCCCACAGGTGGGGGGTGGGGTAAAAGTGAGAATTCAGATTCTGGCCTTCACTCCCTCTTCTGTGGAATCACCCCTGGGGAAGAAAGTTGGTGAGTGGGCTCCCAGAAGTCCAAGGGGTTGCAAGTTTTTTGTTTTTGTTTTTTGGTTTTGGTTTTTTTTTTTTTTTTTCTCTTTTTCTTTTATGGTGTCTAGCTGAAGTAAAGCTTGGCTAGTCTGACTGGTTTCTCCTTTTATGATCAACCTTTTCTGTTCACACAAAGGCTTCCCTGTATTAGGGTGGATACTCAGTACCAGATCAAGTAGTATTCCCAACATCGGACTAGAGGTTAAGGTGGGTGGGTGATGGTAGTGGATTTCGCTGGCGAGAGTCTTCCAGTTCGTCACAATCTTATCTGGTCTAAGTGTCCCCACTTAAGAGTTTTGCTTTTTCATCTGCCACCATATTCATTGTCCTTCGATGCTTCGTTTTACTTTTCTCTGTGGTACCTTTTCATGTTGTCTTTATACTGTGTGAAATGGACATTTCCTGCAGCCTCTTCATGTGACTGGTTCAGTTGTTTGGATTTCAATGTGATCTTACTCGATACAAGTTGATACTGATATAGCTCATTGGTGAAGGCTCCTTTCTTCAGTACAGGGTGAGGTAACTGGTAGCTTTTCTCATTTTGTAAATGGTGGTTGGACCTACTGCAGAATGCCCATTTACTTCTTGGTTTGGTGTACACCTTTTCTCAGGCTTGATATCCTATATCTAGAACATCCTTTTCTGTTATGTGACTAAGAGCAAGTCCTCCCTTCAGTGAAGAAAAGAATTTCATTTACATTTTCCTAAGATCTCACACCAGGTACAGGGTTAAAGTCTCACTTTGTTAGGGAGAAAGGAAATATGGGTCTTTCTGGAATCTGATGAAACAAAGAAAGAAATTTAAAAAATAAAGACTGTATTTTTATATTCTGTTGCTTACACAATACAAGTGGGGCTGGCTTATTTCAAAAGTTTAGTCCATTATTGTCACAGTGAAATCATGAAAGTGTGCAAGGAGACATGTGCTTGAGAAGGAGCTAGCTAGCAGTTCTACATTCAGATGATCAGGCAGCAGGAAGTGAACGTCACACTAGACCTGACGTGAGTATGTGAGGCTTCAAAACCCACCTCCTAGTGATGCACTTCCTCCCAACAAAACCACACCTACTCAAACAAGGTCACACCTCCCAATAGTGCTATTCCCTATAAGCCTATGGGGGCTATTTTTATTCGAGCCACCGTGTTGTCACATGGCATGCATATAATGTATATAAGTTGTCTCAGATGCTAACATTACCTCATTTTCTGTTGAACTGTGCATGTTTTTTTCTAGAATAAAATCCGTGTTCTGTGACCAGATATTTACCTATTATAAACATTATTGCTAGAATAAAAAACTTTTTATATTCATAATAACTGTCACAAACCCCTTGGAACCACACAAATCATGTATGTCTTTTGGAGCTTACACACACACACACACACACACACACACACACACACACACACACACACAAAAGAAATGCAAAAACATAGAAATTCAACATAGATCTACATTAGAAACTATTAGCTTATTAGATTACTGCTCTGCTCTGTTATTACTGCTATTGTTTCAGACTCTAAGTATTCAATAAGCTCTTGGAATTAATGTATTCTATAAGCTTAGTGACCTGGCCTTTCACTGTGAGCCAGTCCTCTCCTATAAGCCATCTTGGGCTCCTTTTTGTTAAAGGTTAATAACCAGAATAATGAAGCGGTTGGTTATTTATGCAGTTTTGATTGGCAAAAGTTATTAGAACAAGAATCTGCCCAGAAGCAATGATTAGGTTATGAAAATGTTAAGGAATATTGAAACTAGTTACAATTTTTGACATTTAAGAAATATTATCCCTACACTTAATCATGATGATCTTGTATAGAAATATATGTACAGAATAATCCCATTGGACAGTAATTCTTTTGCCAACAGCATATCTAAATAAGCGCTGAGAGGGAGATTCAGAAATGATCTGAGCAAACAGGAACCTAGCAGAAACTAACCACATTAAGAAGCTTGGAGGTTCTGACCTATGAAATTGGACCTTTCTGACCTAGTGCTTTTACCTCTAGCATTCTTCCCATTCTAGGAGCCATGAAAAGGGCACCCCAGGATAGGTTGCCATGTTTTATGAACCAGGAAGAAGATATATGGGCAGAAAACTCCTGGTGATGGTGTTAGTGGTGTGATTATTAATATGTAAAACCAAAGTTCAAAAAAATAATCCCTTTATGCTTGAGAGAGTTAGGAACTCAGTGTATAAAATAGACACTAATCATTAAGATACTATTTACATAAAATATGACATTTTCAAGTATACAATTGAATGGCATTAAATATTTCTCAGAGTGTCAACACTACCATCATCTCACTCCAAAATCTCCTCCCAAACCTGCACCCTTTTCTCTGGTTCCTCTTCACCAGTCTGTAGTAACCATCAATCCACTTCCTTGCCTGAATACACTTGGCCTATTCTTGACTTCTCATAAAAATAAATGCTTATAATAGATATTCTTTGTGTTAGTACTGTTTTCTATGACATAATATTTTCAAGGTGTGTAACATGTACCAGTCTCTCATTTATTTTATTGCCAAATGATGTTCCATTTTATAGATACTGTTCTGTTGATAAGTTGATGGACATTTAGGCTCTTGTTGCTTCTAAACTACAGAGAGCAGGGTTTCTCTGAAGACACCATGTATGAGTTTTTTGTTTATGCTTTTAAATTTTTTTTCTTGGATAAAGAGATATATTGGGTTATATAGTAAATTTCCTTTTAAAAACATACTACTAATTTTTCTTCCAAAGTAGCAGTACATTTTACATGCCTGTTAGATAAACTAGGTTTCAGTTGAACATATCCTTGTTAGACCTGCCATCTTGAGTCTTTGATTAAGGCTTTCCTGCTGGATATGAAGTCCTATCTCCTTGTACTTTTGATTTGCCTTTCCCCATAGCCAATTGTGTTTAGCATCTTTTACTTATTGATCATTTATATATTTCTTTTTGCAGATTGCCAGTTTTAAAAAACTAGTTTAGTATTATTTATGTTGAATTTTATGAGCTGTTTATATATTCTGAGTATTAATCTTTTATCATATAAATGATTTCAGAGTCTTTCATTTTGAGGGTTTTTTTTTGTTTTGTTTGTTTGCAGTTTCATCTTTCAAGGTCACAAAGATGAATTTGTGAGAGTTTTGTAGTTTTAAGTCTTAAATCATTGGTTTTTTTTGTTTCCCTCCCCTTCTTTTTATTTTCCTTTCGCTTCCCCTTTCCTTTCCCATGTCTGGCAGTTGCCCAGTCCATCCTTGAACTCATGATTCTCAACAAGATGCCTCAACTTCCTGAATTCTGGGATTGCAGGCATGTACTCTATGCCCAGCGTCATTTTCCTCTGCAAAGAACTAAGAGAAATATCTCTTCACTAGGATGCTCAGTGCTGCTTTCTTATAAAAATTATTGCTTCATGATTGGACACATGAACTGTTTTTATCTGATGACTCCATACTCACTATCACTGACCAAATATTATCATATTTCTGTCTTTGTTTTGTTTATTGGAATGTGTGTGAGAGCCAGTTTTTTCTCCTTAATTTGCAATCTCACCTCTTCAGCTACAATATAGAGAATGTCAAGAACTTCTTAGTCTCTACCAGAAGTACCTATCAGAGCAGCAAGAGAAGCTCACCATGTCACTCTCAGAACTTGGTGCTGCTAGAGCACAGGAGCAGCAGGTAAGTGACTTCTTCTGACCTAGAAGGTTCATTTTTCTTCTCTTTTCTTTTTTTTTTTTGGGGGGGGTGATGGAAATCACATGATATGCATGTTGTTTTAAAATATACAAATATTTCATGACTTCCCTGTCTGTGACCTTCTTCTCCTGTTTTGTGAGTCCAGTGATGAGAAACAGAAACTTGAAGTAGGAGGTTGCTACTGGGGAGACTTTTGATGGGATAAGAAAATGCACTGATCTGTTACTTCTTAAAGAGCAATGACTATTTGGTGTCTTTTTGGAAAACATTAATATCCCTTTTCTGTTCTTAGTTCTTAGAATTTTTGGCTTCTATATAAGCTTGTATGTATTAACCTTAATATGTGAGTATTAATTACCACATAATATAAATGATGAATATTTAGAACATTTTAAGTTTGTGTGTTAATTTAAATAAATGAGTGTTTATAAGTAACTACATAGCATCAAGTGATGAGTATTCAGACTTTTGCCTTTTATAATATAAAAACAAGTACCAAAGCCATACTTCTACCCTTCTAATACTGATGCTAGATGTCTTTCTCCTATCCTTATGAGTTTAAAAATTCAAATGGCTGAAAGAAATCTTTATATAAGATAGAAAGGACAGTGTCGTATAAAGTCATCCTGAGCATGAAAATACAGTTTGTTAACTGTCATTTCCCAAGTACTGTCAAAAGCACAAAGACCAAACATGAGGGTTTCTTACAAATTTTCTATAGAACATTGCTATTCAGACTGGAGACAACTGCCTTCAATGTGTTACCAGTTCTGACTAATGGAATCCTTGTTTTGAACCTATAATTTGCATATATAGGAAAGTGAAAACAAATAAAAAGTCCAACAATATTAATGCTGTGTTATGTGGTTTAGCTGTGTTGATTAACACATTTAAATTACTGTTCAAATTATTAATGGCTTGCCGATATTCTAGTTTGAATATCTCTTGTTTTGTTTCCACAAAGCTAGATTGTACATTGGCCACAGAGGAATGTGGCAGCTTATGCTATTTCTATGCATGTCTTCACAAGTCTAAAAGAGGTTGACAGCTCTGTAGGTGCCTCTAGGCCAGAGTGCTTGTGAAGGTCGGATTTCAGGTTCACCCTCACATTTCTGCTCATGCCCTTGGCATGACATAGTTGATGGAAAGAGCACAAAAGCAAAGGTAACTTATTTCAGAAGGGACTGCAGCAGGGAAACTGGAGAGTCTTCATTTAACAATGCTAGTAGAGTCTTAAACCGTAGGAGCATAGGCTAAGAGTCAAATCATGATCACTAAAGTAAAGAAAGAAGAAAAAGAAAACCAATAGCAGGGAGGAAAAGAAAAGTTGATAGTTGATAATGAGGCTCTAAGCATACCTGGAAGAGGCCCACCCTGAAACTGGGAACAAACAAAACTTCCTCTGTTGTTGTTGGTTTTTATTTGAGCTAAATGTAAACAATTACAGTTAATACCACCACAAAAACCTTGAGCAGTGTAACTAAAAGAGATGCTAGAATGAAAATGTTGGGCAAGTGTATGGAGAGAATATACTCTCAAAAGGGGGTTCCTGGTCTTGGGGTGTGACTTGAGGTAGGTAGAACATTTGCCTAGCATGTGTAAGGAAGGTCCTGTGTTCTACCTCCAACCCCCACTGACATACACACCAGGGGGATATCTCTTGTTTTTCACTTATCCAGAGATCTTTTTGAGATATGTATTTCATTTTAAATCATGTGTACATATTTGTGTATGTATGTATGTGTATATGTATGTATCTGCTGAGGTGTCATATCCCAGGTTGTTGTAAGCTGTTCCATGCGGGTGTTGGGAACTGCACTCAGTCCCTTGCAAGAGCACTGGGTGCTCCTGACTGCTGAGCCATCTCTAGGATAAACCATGTTTTCCTCAAGTACTTGATGATCAAGTTCTAAATGTCCTAAACAGTACAAATGAGGCTGTGAATACGAGTAGCTTCTAGGCTCTGCTGTTTGACCTAGAAAGGGAAAATAGGCTTCTTTTTTCTTTTCTTTCTTTTTTTTCCCCCTCTTTCCTACTTAAGGAAGAAGGTGAGTCACTTCCTTTGTTATCTGGTTCATTCTTTGTGACAGGCTTCTCTAAGCTGAGCATAGGGAAACACCTTCTTCTTTCCTGTTGGGACATGGGTAAATCAACTCCTTACTCCCCATAGGAAGAGCCCATCCAGGTCTGACTCCTCTTTTCCCTTTAGCTCACTATGAAGTCTAGTGTACTCTTAATGTATTCACAACTAGCCTGTGCCAATATTTGATGAGCATCATTTTATTATTGTAGTTATTGTTTATTCGCCCACCTCCTTCATACAGTATTCTGAAGTCAGGCATGCTGTTTGTTACAGCAATGATGTTATACTCTCAGAGCCTGGTGTAAAGTTCAGAGTAATCTCAAATAAATAACCCAATGATCCACTTCAGGGTTCTAGAAAAGTAAAAAACCAAACAAATGTAGCAGATGACAAGAAATAGTAAGTATTACAGCAAAATAATGAGATAGAGAATAAGATTAGAATACATAGACGCAAAAAGCTGGTGGTTTGAAAGATAAAGATGATTGACAAACCTCCAATCAAACTAACCAAAGGAGGAAGGCTGTCAAAAAGAACAAAATTAGGGATAAAATGGAAATTTTTACAGCAGACCCTAATAAAATCCACAGGAATATTAGGAAAACATAGGAAGCTTATATTCCAATAAGTTAAAATATCTAAAATATGCAACCTAATACAATTAAATCAAGATGGTATCAACTTTTTAATCCTATAATAGAATATGTTAGAAGTGGTAATTAAACACCTCTCCACAAAGAAAAGTGTGAAACAGATTTGTTGCTGAGCTCTAGCACACTTTTAGAATGACCTTCTAGCTGAGCACACACTTTTAATCCCAGCACTTGAGAGGCAGAGGCAGGTGGATCTCTGCAAGTTCAAGGCCAATATGGTCTAGAGAGCAAGTTCTGGGACAGCCAGTATTGTTACATACAGAAATCTGTCTTGAAAAAAACCAACAAAACAAAACAAAGAACAACAAAACAAAGAAATAAAAAAGAATGACCTGCTAAAAGTACTTCTCAAAAGTACTATATTCTTTTTCCTCTTTCCTTATTTCTAGTTTCATGACCTAGTAAGTCTTCTCAAATGTTCATACATATATATTCATTTCAGAGATGAATTCATCACTAGAGGAAGGAATGAGTGATAAGTTACAGATATCTTTCACAGGTTTATGTACTAAGGATTAAATCACTGACTCCAACTGACCCAAATAGCAAGCAAATAAACACAATCAAGCAATATCTGAAAAAAGAAATCAACTTTCCAATCAACAAATGAGCTAATGGCCCAAACATATTTTTCAAAAGAAGAAATGTATCTTTAAATTTTAAATTTATCTTTCAATGGCTGATAAACATTTTTTAAAGTGTTCAACATTTTTAGTTATTAGGAGAATGTTGATAAAAATCTGTGTAGAGATCCCGCCTTATACCAGTCAGAATAGCTGTCCTGTCAGAATAGCTGTCATGCTGGCAGGGCTATGATGAAGGAGGAAATGGTAGAAATGGAAACTGCTGCAGCCATTGTGAATATCAATATAGATGTTTCTCATAGCAACAAAGACAAACAAGTGAGTAAAAACAAAACCACCTTCTGATCCAGCTCCACCACTCCTAAGTTCATATGAAAAACTGCAAGTCCCCACAGAGACATTTGTGCATCCATACATATAGTTATATTATACAGGGTCACTAGCAAATGGAAGCAGCATGCATTTCTGTCAGCATTAGATGAAGGGAAAGGAAATAAGGCACATGCATACAATGACATTTTATTCAGTTATGAAGAAAAATGACATTATGATTTTTTGCAGGAAAATAGATATTGAGAGATTGTTGTGTTCAAAGTGCCCCAGATTCAGATAAATACTGTATGCTTTCTCACATTTCATCTCTGAAATGTACATATATGTATGAATATTTGTGAAGGGCTTCTAGGCCATCAAACTAGAAAGGCAATAGTGAAAGAGGAAAAAGAATCTTAAAAGGAGGGTTGGGGATAGAGGCAAATAGGATTCATATATCGGGGTTGAAGAGATGGCTCAGCATGTACCAATGTTACAGAGGATCTGAGTTGAGTTCCCAATGTCCATTATCCTATTCCATGAAGATTCAGTGTCTTTGGCCTCCACAGGCACCCACAATCACATAAACACAGGCAAACTCATATCACATACCCACACTCATATGAACACAAACACATGCATGCACACACACATACACACACAAATACACAAATATATATAAAACTTAGAAGTAAAATCATTTTAAAAGGACACATATGCCATGAAAGAAGGGAGGGTAACTTGGGAGATGGCATCAGAGTTTCAAGAGGAGGAATGGGAAAAGACAGTAGAGAGAAAGATTAATGAAATTAAAATATATATGAAAATAACATAGTGAAACCCACAGTTTCATATACTAATTTTTAAAAAAGCTATATAAAGTACAATCTAAAGTGATAGATGAAGTAGACCTTAATCCAAATTTAAAAGGTGAGGTGGTGTGTGTGTGTGTGTGTGTGTGTGTGTGTGTGTGTGTGTGTGTGTGTGTGTGGACCCTGAGATAAAAACACAACTAAAAATTTTTTCATGTTTTATTTAAATTAGAAACAGTCTTCTTATTTAATATATTCCTAGTTCCCTCCCATTGTCCCATGCCCCCCACAGACTCCCATCCCATCTCTCTTCTCCTCCACAGAAAAAGTGAGACCTTCTATGGGAGATCATAAAAGTCTGTCACATCATTTAGGGCAGGGCTTAGGCTTTCCCCCATGTGTCTAGGCTGAGAGAGTATCCCTCTGTGGGAAATGCACTCCCAATATCCATTGATACACTAGGTATTAATGCTGTTCCATTATCAGGGGACCCATAGACTGCCCTATGCTGGTTTCCAAGCTGTCAGTCTGGGGTCCA